CTAACATGTTTTATATTTGTTATCTTGTTCACTCTTTAATACTTTGCTTGTTAAATGACTAATCTTGATTTGTTGTTAACATAAGTTATAATCATGAATGCTTGACGAGATTTACAAGTACTAGCATTAATCGAATAAGATGACTAATGTAATCATGTTAACAATCTATAATCTCATTGGAACCTCCTTTGTGTGTGGTTTCCAATTGAATAATAAGAGTTTATGCTATACTTTTTTGACATACCATTAGTGGAACCTCTAACCTTGACATTTGTTATTATTATTGTTTAATCCTTACATTAATTTTCCATCTCCAAGTTCTTATCATCTTCTTCTTCTTCTCTTTCTTTATTATTATTATTATTATTATTACTACTACTACTACTACTACTATCATTATTATTATTATTATTATTATTATTATTATTATTATTGTTGTTGTTGTTGTTGTTATTATTATTGTTATTGTTATTGTATTATTGTTATTTATAATTTGTACAAATAACCTCCCTGTGGTTCGACCCCGGTCTTGCCGGGTTATTTATTACTTCGACACTCCTGCACTTGGGAGAAGACATCAATCTTTTCGTCGTGTCAATATGTATATAATTTAAAAACATCATGCATCTTTAACTCATGTAACGAGCTTTTGGCTAATGACTCCTAGACCAGTTAGTCTTAGGGCATTAGGAATTAAGACACCCCTATGAACTTAGTAACTCGGGTCGCAGATACTGATATGTAGATAGTGCAATGTTTGATTCCCTTAAGCTTTTGTCCTTAACCCATGTAAGAAGCGTTGGGCCAATAGGTCCCAAGTCAATTGACTTTAGGGTATTAGGTGTTAAAACACCCCTTCAGGCTTAATTGCTTAGGTTAGGGAGGCTACGAAACCAAACTTATCTATATTTTTATTATTATCATTTTTTTTTCTTTTTTTTAATTATATACAATCCCTTTCCCTTAGTTGTTACCTTTAACAAAAGAATATAAATAATGTAATAATCCAATATGCAACCCACAATCATATGTTAAAGTGTGTGTGTGTAAATTAAGGTTTAAGAATACACGTTAAATAAGTATATGAGCAGAATTAAGTGATAACAATGCGAGAGTTTGTAAATCTGAATATTTCATGAAGTATTATAATAGACCTTGTTAAGAATGGTTACTAAGATGTGGCTCAAGAGGCATAAAAGTTCTCCTTACTCTGCCATCATAGTAACAACATAATAGGTATATTTGTATACTTATATGATGCTTAAATTCAGCCCCAAATCAGCCCAAATACAATCCATGATCTTACATGTCCACACAACAACAATTGATTTATTTTGGGTAATCCATTGATCCAAGAAGGCAAGCACATGGATGGAAAGCTGGAGGGGACATTTTTACATTATTTTGGGTCAAAAAGAAGAAAGAGATAGCTCATAAATGAGGAAGAAAAACATGCACCAAAGTGGTTGCAAAGCTGTCCTGATTTGATTTTTCAGAACATCTTTCGGTGTTTTGCCCATAACGTTTGACTCAGGTGTCCAAATGAGCTGTTCTTTAATGATCTGGAAAGGTGACAAAATTTCCTATAAATATGTCGCAATAGACGTTTCCAAAAAAGGCTTCTAAGAGGGTCAAATTGCTGTCCAAAGTTAGAGTCAGATTTGTGTCCGAATTTTTTCTGAAATTGTGTTGTGTTCTTCTTTATAGATTTCAGTTCTTTAGTTTGTAAAACTTATTATTTCAGTTTAATTCAAGTTATTTCATGTTTATTGAAGTGTTCTTATATATAATCATGGTTGGCTAAACTCTTTCTTGGATCCCATTCAAGGATAATGGTGATTAAGGTGAGTTCTTTAGGATATGAATGAATCTTAATGTTTATCTTCTTATTTTCTTCATGAATGATTTATTATTGCAAAGAAATTTTAGAAATCATTTAGGTAATGTTATAATCTTGAATTTTTATGCACAAACTTTAGTTTTGGTATAGAGATTGCTTGATTCAATGTCTTACTTAATATGAAAGTACTTGTTCATTCTTAAGCAATAATTAATCTTCATCTTTCTAAACTTCATTGTAATATCTTCTGATCTAATATCACCATCGTTGATATTAGGTTGAGTTATCTTATATATGTTGAAGAAATCACCAATACATCACCATTAAAATTGATTTGGACCAAGACTTACCTTTTCTTGTCATTTAAAATCTATTTACACTTTTTCATCTTTGAAAACAAATCCATCAATTATTTTCAACCAAGTTATTGTTAATTTAATTTCTCTTGAGTTTTTTTTGTTACCTAGCTTAATTTCCAGATCTAGCTCTCTGTGGATATGACCTCGATCTTACCGAGTTAATTGCTACATCGCACACTCGTGCACTTACGAGTTAAAACAAGCCGATCATAAAAAGCGGTCAAGCAATTTTATGTCCAAGAACGGCTTAAATGCCCTCTATGGGTCGAGGATAGACTTCCCATCTAGTTTTCTTAAAAACTGGCAAACAGGGTCTTTTTTAGTCAGATTCCCAAGACTATGTCGAGCATGTTCCTTATGGAATATTGGCCATAAGTCATGAATTGCATGACGCTTATCTCGACTATGATGAGACTTAAGAGTCAATAGAAGATTATCTAAAGACTCTTTGTGTTTTGAAATAAATCCCACCTTTTGACAATTTTCACAGGTTTTGCAGAATGCATGTGATTCCTTGAATATGGTGGGCCAGTAAAATCCACTTTGTAAGATTTCTACAGTCCTCTTTTTTTACGAGAAATGATCCCCACGTGCCTTAGAGTGACAAAATTTAATGACATTACTTACCTCATTTTCGGGAATGCATCTTTGAAATATTTGATCAGGACAATAATTGAATAAGTAAGGGTCATCCCAATAAAAGTTTTGCATGTCACTCAAAAATTTTCTTTTTTGTCTTCGGTACTCTAGTGAGCTGGCAAAAATCCTCAGGCAAGAAAATTAATATTTTTAGCATACCAAGGCATTGAACTAAGAGAAAGTAGAGATTCATCAGGAAAGTAATCATCGATTGGTGTGATGTCGGGTGTCGAATCTGTTGTCACTTTTGATAAAAGATCCGCATCAACATTTTCGGTGCTTTTTTCATCCTTGATTTCTTCTTGATTGGTCATGGCATTAGAAAATGGAAGTGTTGGAGGGGAATCAGTCTTTTCTTTGCAATGTTCAGACTCAACCCCTTCTTTACCCTTAGAGATTGACTCATCATCTTTCTCACAAGCTTCAAGAATTGGTTTGTGAATAACCTTACCATTACGAAGAGTGGTGACTGATTTGACTTGATCCATGTGTTGACTCCCAAGACTACTTGCACTTGCTTTGTATTGCCCCTTGGGATTTTGCTGTGGTTGAGATGGAAACTTACCTTTCGCTTGAAAACTGAGAGCATATGTGAATTTTGCAAGAGTATCTTTAAAATCTGTTATGCTTTGAGCAAGTTGAGTGTTGATTGTCTCTTGCTTTTCAATGAATGCATACAAAGTTTCCTTAAAATTTATTGTAGGAGGTGGAGCATAAGGAGGTGTATATCCATGAGAATTTTGAAAATTATGGTGTGCTTGAAACTATGGTGGTGAAGTTTGTGCATTGTCACTCTTCCAACTAAAATTTTGGTGATTTATCCAACCAGGGTTGTATGTTTACGAGTATGGGGTATGATTGGACCTTTAGAAACTATTTTTTTTTTGGTAAGTTGACGTATATATTAAAGGAAAACGATACAAAGATTATAAAGGGCATACCCCAGATTTACAATGACAACAGAAACGTAAAACAATAGATGGCTACATGCTAGCCACCGAACTGAAAACTCAAGACCTAACTTGATTCGTTAGGGAAACTAATACAACCAGCTAAATATCAAATGAAGAATCTATGTTACGTTACCCTCCAGGCTCGTTGGATTCTTTTATTTTCATTTGTTGGTAGAACATTCCTCATCAAATCCAGCTTATCCGGATGATACATTCAATTTGATGAAAGACCAAATTCTGAGTTCTAGATATTCCAGCAAAGGTCCTTGCATTCCTTTCTTGCCAGATATGATACACTATAGCTGCAAAACTGAGTTTACGAGAAAAATTGACGAAACTTTTGCCATGCCAAGTGACAGTGGCCCATCGAATCCATTCATCCCATCCTTTTGTCATTCTTGGAATGTTGCATCTGTCACAAACATCCCACCAGATCACTTTAATATAGGAGCATTCAAAGAACAAGTGGTTGTGATCTTCGTTGTTGCGGAGACAGAGTGAGCATGTATTGGGACCATGTATACCAAATCGATGAAGTCTATCTTGAGTTGTGAGTTTCTGTTGGACAGCCACCCATAGAAGAAACGAATGTCTTGGAACAGCATTCTTGAACCACACAATGTCATGCCATTCGACCATCGTATGATGAAATCTTAGTTGTTCCCAAGCTATTTTGAACGAGAATCTGTGAGTTGGTGAATCCAGCCAAACAATCTCATCATTTTGCCCTATCATTGGTTTAGAATTGGAAGGAATAACTTCTACAATGGGGTGCCAGCCAATAGCGTGAGTGGTAGGAATTTTCCATTCTAAGTTATGAATCAGCATATTCACCTTCGCGTTCTTTTCCATACCTGAATCATAGATGAATCTATCGCCGTAAGAATCTGCGAGCGGGCTGTGAGGATGCCAATTGTCAAACCATAGAGAAGTTGTCCTGCCATCCCCTATGATGTACTTCATCTTTGGCCATGCTAAGGATCTGAGCTTTAGAATCTTTCTCCATGCCCAAGAGCAATTCTGTGGCGTCTTGATTGTCCAGAAATTCCTACCTCGCAACAGATTACATCTAATCCAAGTAGACCAGATTGAGCCATCTGAGTCATTGCACAGGTTCCAAATGTGTTTCAACAAAGCAATCTTGTTCCATTCTGTTATCCTCTTTATTCCTAGCCCCCCCTCCTTTTTTGGAAGACATACCTGATCCCAAGCCACTTTAGCCCTAGTAGTTCTCATATCTGAACCTGACCAAAGAAAGGATCTCATAATTTGCTCCACACTTTTTATGACTTGCCCAGGTAAGAGGAAGAGAGATGCCCAATAGACCTGGATGGAAAATAAAACTGAATTAATCAGTTGTACTCGTCCTGCATACGAGAGTGTTCTACAAGTCCAATGTCGAACTTTAGAGGTGATTCGATCCACGAGACCCTTACAATAAACAGCCTTTAGTCTGGACGAGATAAGAGGCACTCCCAAATATTTCATAGGGAGCTCCCCCTCTACAAACCCAAGAACATGAATAATCTCTTCCCTCTCAGCATTTAACACACCGCTTAAGAAGATGTCACTTTTATTTGGATTTGGATACAGACCTGATAGGTCTTGAAACTTTGTGAGCACAGTTTTGATCATACGAATTGAGTTTACATCTCCTTTGCTAAAAATCATCAAGTCGTCAGCAAAACAAAGATGAGAAATGTTGTCCTTCTTGCATCTCCAGTGGAACTTGAAGTTTTGGTTGGCACTCATCTTGCAGAATAGCCCCGAAAGGATTTCCATACATAGGACAAACAAATATGGAGAAAGTGGATCCCCTTGTCGCAGCCCTCTCCCCCCTTGAAAATAACCTGCAAGCTCACCATTGACGTTGATAGAGAATTGACATGATGTAACACAAACCATAATCCAATCAATGACTGTTCTAGGGAATCCCATTTTTCTTAACATAACGTCAACGAAATCCCATCGAACCGAGTCATAAGCCTTCATCAGATCTACTTTCATAGCACAACGGGCAGGTCCCGTAGATTTATGATAGCCTTTCATTAGTTCCTGAGACAAAAGAATGTTGTCGCTGATTCTCCGTCCAGAGATAAAAGTTGTCTGAGACGGACCTACTAAGGATGGCAAAACAGCTTTGATTCTCCCAGCTAGAATCTTAGAAATGCATTTGTACACGGTATTGCAGCAAGATATAGGATGAAAATCTGTCAACCTCGTAGGATTGGCAACTTTAGGAATAAGGGAAATGGATGTAGCATTCATTTCCTTAAGCATTCTTCGAGTCTGAAAGAAGGAGCTAACAGCGTTGATTACATCTTCCCCAACTATGTGCCACATTCTTTTGAAGAAACCTGCGTTAAATCCATCCGGACCAGGGGCTTTGTTGTTCTTCAAACTAAACATAGCATGCTTAATCTCCTCCCTTGTTACATCTTGTGCTAATACATGTTGTTGCGTCGAAGACAGTTTCAAGTTAATTGTCGATTCCATCTCTTCCTCATTCAGAACCCTAGGCATCTGTTCCACTCTTAACACACGCTGGAAGTACGCAACGACTTCTGATTTAACTGCCTCATGTCCTTCGACAACCTCTCCATCCTCCTTTGTAAGTGAAAGAAGTTTATTTCTATGCTGTCTTCCATTTACTGATTTGTGAAAGTAGCCAGTATTCTGATCCCCCAAGCTAAGCCACTGTATCCTTGACTTCTGTTTGAAAAAACTCTCTTCGGCTTTGACGATAGAAGCGTAGTTACGTACAACATCCCTTTCTCGCATGCACAAAGTTGGATTCCCATGTGCTGTATGGAGAGCCTATTGAGCCTTATCCATTTCATCTTTCGCATCTTTGACTCTATCTGAAATGTTGGAGAAGTGAGTCATATTGAAAAGTTTCAATTCCCGTTTTAGTTTTCTTAGCTTGCAACACAGCTGATACATTGGACAACCCCCCGAATTGTGTTCCCATACTTTCCTCACCAAGGGCATGAACTCGTCATGGTCCATCCACATATCAAAGAATCTGAATGGTTTCTTTATATTCTGATAATCACTAGTAACCTTTACCACCATAGGAGAATGGTCTGACATACCTGATGGCAAAAATCTCGCTTCTGAAAAGGGGAAGTTCAGATTCCATTTCTCATTGACAAGCACTCTATCTAGTTTTCGCATAATCAGATTCTCAGGACATTGATTCGACCAAGTATAATGCAGGCCTGAATATCGAAGATCATCCACTTTCGCTTCTTGAATACATGTTTCCAATCTGTCCATATGACCAGCCCACGAAGTAGACCCTCCTAACCTGTCTGATTGGTAGCGGATAGCATTAAAGTCGCCCATAAGAATCCATGGGCTGGACTCCCATCCATCACTACGACTCACTATATCAGACCATAATGCCTCACGTAAGGAAGCGTTATTGTCTCCGTATATAATTGAAGCATTGAAACAAATATTGGTAGCTAATATAGGTCCCACGGAATCCAACTATTTAAAGCACGAGCTTGTTCATGGAGACATTCCTTAAAAGAAGGCAAGGTTGGACAAGTATTAGTTAAGTGTTCATTTGTTTCACATATTTGACACACAATGTTTTCAACAGATTTTAATTGGCCACTCTTTTTCAATTCTAGTGCCTCGACTTTTCTAGCTAAAGATGCAAACTTGGCTTGAAGGTCATGATCTTCCCTAAGGTTGTACATACCTCCACTAGATGTATGAGGTTGAGTTTTACTCGGTGCCTCAAAAGTACCCGCGGTATCCCGGATTTGAGCATTTTCAGCTAACAAGTCTAAGTACTTCATTGCTTCATCAGGATCTTTATCTTTAAAAGTTCCATTGCACATCAATTCAACCATTTGCCTATCTCTAGGTGTTAACCCTTCATAAAAATATGAAACCAATTTCCATGTTTTAAAACCATGATGAGGGCAATTATTAAGCAAGTCTTGATACCTATCTCAACATTGGTAAAATGTTTCTCCTGGATTTTGAGTGAAAGTGGTGATTTATCTTTTGAAAGAGTTTGTTCTGTGAGATGGAAAAAACTTCTTTAAAAATTGTTGTTGCATTTCATCATAAGCACGAACGGATTGTGGTCTTAAATTTTGTAGCCATGTTTTAGCTTTATCTTTTAATAAAAAAGGAAAAAGCTTTAATCTGATGGTGTTCATGCTATAATTTAAATTATTATGTGTTGCAGACCTCCTCAAATTCCCTTAAATGCAAGTATGGATTTTCCAATTCTAAGCCATGAAAAGAAGGTAAAAGTTGAATAATGTCTGGCTTAAAATTAAAATAAGATGCATTGGGAGGAAAAACTATGCATGATGGTGCACTTATTCTTGTGGGATTCATGTGGTCTCTAAGTGTTCTAGCACGGTTATTCTCATTATTCTCATTATGAAGTGATTGATTATCTTCTTCGGCCATATTTTCTGAAAATGACGAGGATACCCTAGAAAGTCTACCACTTGATGTACATGACCACACTCTCATGCACGTATAGGAATAGAATAAAAGGAAGAAGAAAATAAAAGAAGAAGAAACAAGAACAAATAAATAAAGTTTTATACAAGAAAAGTGAATAGAGAAAATAAAATAAATACTATAATTTATACAAGAACTTACCTCCCCAGCAACGGCGCCAAAAACTTGACACGACTGAAAGATTGATGTCTTCTCCCAAGTGCAGGAGTGTCGAAGTAATAAATAACTCGACAAGACCAGGGTCGAACCACATGGAGGTGAATTTTACAAATTATAAATAACAACAACAACAACAACAACAATAATAATAACAATAATAATAATAATAGTAGTAGTAGTAGTAGTAGTAGTAGTAGTAATAGTAGTAGTAATACTAATAATAATAATAATAATAATAATAATAATTAAGAAAAAGGAGAAGGAGAAAAAGAAGATGAGAACTTCGAGATGGAATATTAATGTAATGATTAAACAATGATAATAATAAATGTCAAGGTTAGAGGTTCCACTAATGGTATGTCAAACAAGTATAGTCTAAACTCTTATTATTCAATTGGAAACCACACACAAAGGAGGTTCCAATCAGATTATAGATTGTTAACATGATTACATTAGTCATCTTATTCAATTAATGCTAATACTTCTAAATCTCGTCAAGCATTCATGATTATAACTTATGTTAACAACAAATCAAGTTCCTTTTATAGCTCAGGTGTCGGTTATACCATACAGTATGAACTATGAAAGTGTCAAGCATTTGTTGTACCAAGTGTTATACAACAGAAATCAAGATTAATCATTTAACAACCAAAGTATTAAAGAGTGAACAAGATAACAAATATAAAACATGTTAGTATCAAACATTAAAGTCCATATTCAGTTTATACTATACTTATTCTTACACCATTAGTGCAACCTTTTCACCTTGACATAAGAAACTTAGCTAGACATAATGAAAGAAAGAAAAATAGATAAAGAAAATAAGAACATAAATAGGATAAAAGTTAACTAAGTAAAGGAAAGGAAATGAAAGGCATAAACTTGATATTAATGAAAACAAAGCATAACATTACAAAAAAATATAAAGAGAGAAAGCAAAAGCATGATCTTGATCTAGAGACCAAGATGCCTAAATGCATGGCAAATGCCTCCTTTTATAGGCCAAAATTGGGAACTATTGATTTGATGACTAATTGATGAGTGGGTGACCAACTCTTGACTTGGTGACAATCCTTATCTTCTCTTATCTACCCAAAAAATCACTGATAACATTAAAATTGGAGCCACCTGAAAACATGAACGTTGTGGGAAAATGTCTTAGCTTTCTTGTGTAAAACATTCAGCTCATTTGGACTTCTAGAACTCGAGATATGGGCCAAATACTGAACAGTGCTCGGGCTGGAAGATAGATTCTGACTTCTTTGTTGTTGCTACAATATGGATTTGAAAATGACCTTTTTAGATCTTGGGCTCCATATGAAAGTTGTAGGCCTGTGTCTTACCTTGCTATCCATATAAAGTAGACCTAAATCTGAGATCTACTACTCCAGATATGACCCAATTACTGAATAGTATTCCAGTATGGACTACGCCAACATCTCTTTTCTAAGTTTGGCCATCTCTTTGTCCTTTCAATTTCAGTTCTTAAATTCATCAATCAATCCTTTCATTTATGTGATAGGCCTGCATTTAAAATGATATTTACCATAAATTAAAGGTATCTTATATTATTAGATATATTATTATA